ATACCCAAAATCTACAAAGAACTAAAACAGATTTACAAGAAAAAAAACCAAACCCATTCAAAAGTCGGCAAAGGATATGAACAGACACTTTTCGAAAGAAGACATATATGAGGCCAACACACATATGAAAAAATGCTCATCATCACTGGTCATTAGAGAAATGCAAATCAAAACCACATTGAGATACCATCTCACGCCAGTTAGAATGGCGATCATTAAAAAATCTGGAGATAACAGACGCTGGAGAGGATGTGGAGAAATAGGACACTTTTACACTGTTGGTGGGAGTGTAAATTAGTTCAACTATTGTGGAAGATAGTGTGGCGGTTTCTCAAGGACCTAGAAATAGAAATTCCATTTAACCCAGCAATCCCATTACTGGGTATATATCCAAAGGATTATAAATCATTCTATTTTAAGGACACATGCACACAAATGTTCATTGCAGCACTGTTTACAATAGCAAAGACCTGGAACCAACCCAAATGCCCGTTGATGATAGACTGGACAGGGAAAATGTGGCACATATACATCATGGAGTACTATGCAGCCATAAAAAACGATGAGTTCGTGTCCTTTGTAGGGACATGGACAAACCTAGAAACCATCATTCTCAGCAAACTGACACAAGAACAGAAAATCAAACACTGCATGTTCTCACTCATAGGCGAGTGTTGAACAATGAGAACATAGGGACACAGGGAGGGGACCATCACACACTGAGGTCTGTGGGGGCGGACTAGGGGAGGGACAGTGGTGGGTAGGGAGTTGGGGAGGGATAACGTGGGGAGAAATGCCAGATATAGGTGATGGGGATGGAGGCAGCAAACTACATTGCTGTTGGGGTCCGGCACGTCTGCCGGGGGGCTACTGACCTGTGGGAGTCCCCAAGACTGCCAACGTAGATGTCTCGTTCAACCTGAGAGAGAGAGTGCGCGGAAGTGAAAGAATACAGGAAAGTGGAGTCTGGAGGGCTAGGCAGCGCAGCGAGTGTAGCACAGCATAGCACAGCACAGCACAGCGTCTTTATTCTTGTGGGTTACAGCTTTTATACCTTTTTTCTTGTTACATTTACTTTATCTCAGTAGAAAGAAAGGGGTAAACAGAAAGGAAATAGAAACTCCATAAAAAATAGTTATCAGGGGCTTGTGATATCCGCTCAGAAAGCAGTTTAAGGGGGCTTGTGATAGTAGTTTACATTTCAAAGATACAATGGCGCCCTTAAGGTGGCTGGTTAAACCTGTTTCTCATCAGGAGCTAAAACAAAGGCTTAGCTCCAGGGAAAATATGGGCAGAGGTCTCTGCTCCTCTTAGGCATCTCAATTGCAGCAAGTTTATTGATTACATAGAGACTGATGGGGACATGGAAACAGACAGCACAATGTCCTCGTAAACTGCAGACCTTTGCTTTGCATTCTGTTGTTGCTTCAGTGACTCAGCCCGCGGCCTTTTGTCTCACCTGACAGCCCTCGAGATGGGGAGTGCAGATAGGTCCTGCAGCCAAACTGGGGCGAGTCACGCTGCTGTCTCGAGCCCTTGGCGCGAACTCTGCACACACATTGCCATGTATGTACCTATGCAACAATCCTGCATGTTCTTCACATGTACCCCAAAACCTAAAATGCAATAAAATATAATAAATAATAAATAAAAATCAGAAAAATTGATTTTTAAAAATAAAAGCTACTTGGTGTAATAACCTTTCCGCCTACACTTTTCTCAGTGTCCACCAGAGGGCGGCAGAATCCCTCCCAGCCTGGAGCCTCCCAGCGGCTGCTGAGCTCCCAGCAGGGCCCACCCTCACCTGGGTGACCTCAGCCCACGCCTTCCTCGCCCTCCGAGCTCTCCACGGGGACTCCATCAGCTCCTCCCTGAGACGGTTCCCTCTGCAGGTAGCTCCTGCCCCCGCCCCCGACTCGCTTTTTCCAGGGGCTCAGCTAAAAAGGCTTCTCCAGGGCAGCTCAGCCCCTCGCAGGCTCCGACGCCCCCCACGCTGTCTGCTCACAGCCCTTCTCTCGTTATCATTAACTTCTTGGTCCCAGGAAGTTCACGGAGCGCCTGTCTCCTTGTTACAGGGAAACTCCGTGAGCGCAGGCGTCACGTCTGTCCTGCCTTCTGTGGAATCCCAGGGCCCAGCCCAGGGCCTGACATGGAACAGATGCTCAATAAATACTAGTTAAATGAATGGGCGGCCACCCAGCAGAAGCTCATCACCTCCATGTGACCCCCGGAGTCAGCCTGTTCCGTGTGGACACAAGGGCACTGGCGCCAGCACGAGAGGAGGCCAGTGAGTGCCTGCGGCTGCCCCCGGGACGGGGCCTGAACTCTCAGAGCTTCTGGAGGTAGGACAGGCCCTTCTAACAGAGAGGGCTCAGAATCTGATTCGTCCCAGAACACTGACACCTGCTCCCCGCCTCTGACTTGTGAGTGATGTCACGTCTCCCAGGAGGGCCTGGGCCGGTAGCCTATGTCCTTCCTATTCTCACACAGACACCTGATCTGCTGCAGACTCTGGATCCTACATCCCAGACGGAGTGACCGCCAGGGGAGGACCGAGCCCTACCTGGCCACAAGGAAGTCGGGTGATGACTAACCCCGAGGGGCCCTGGAGATGGGGGCACCTGGCTGCGGTCCTTGCAGACCTCTCACCAGCCCAAGGAGTGCTGGGGTCCCAGGGGAACTTCCTCTGCAGGAGGGACAGGATAACCCAGAATCTGCCTTTGCTTCCCTCTCAGAGAGGCTGAGGGTCACGGGGCCTTCCCTCCCCTAACAGAGGAACCAGGAACCCCCTGGCTGAGTCTCCAGGTGGGAACTGCCCCAGCTTCTGGGCCCTGCGGGGAGGCCTGGAGCAGACGACAGACTGGGACGCAGATGACCTGGAGGCAGAACTCCCAGTGCTATGGTGGAGGAACACAGGGCACTCTGGGGACCATCTCCCAGGCTGGTGTCTTCTCTCTAAAGCCCCCAGAGACACCTCCCTGGGCCCTTCCTTTGAAACCTTGGGGACAGGTGGCTCCTTCTGAGGCAGCCCATCCCCCTGGTGGACAGTTCTCCAAATCTTGACCTGCTGTTCTCTGGACAACTCCTGTCCTCTCCTGGAGCTCATTTTGCTCTGCATGGAGTTGGGCAGCCTAGGGACCTGCCATAAGCAGGATCGGGGTGACTTGACCTTGCAGTTTGGAGGTCAGAGCCCACCTCTGCCCAGGGGTCATGTGGGCTCATACCATGCAGACACTAGTCAGCATCCCTGGGGCAGCCCCTGAAAAGGCCGCAGGTCTCCTTTTGCCCTCCAGGGGGCGACATTGCACACAGATAACGCTCAGGAAATGGTTATCTTGGACGTGGTTTTGCAAAGGAGGTGCAGGTGAAGGTGAAGCCTGGTTTCCAGCCCTTGCTACAAAAGATCCTTTCAGTCCTTCCCACGTGCCTGCTCCTTCGTGGGACCTGCTTTTCCAAGGGTCCTTGTGCAGTTTCCCACTCCCTCCTGGCATCACCCATGGGGAAGGTGTGGTGGCCACAAGACACACATGCACACAGACACACAGACAGACACACACACACCCTCTCCTCTTTTCTCTCTCTCCCTTCTCTCTCTCCCTCCATCTCTTCTCTACTTTCTCTCTCTCCCCCGACTCCAAGGCTGAGAGGTGAACACAGGGAAAACATGGACAGCCCCTGAGCCACGGCTCAGCCAACAGAAACAGAGAGGGAGGGTCCCTGGAGCCTTCCCCAAGGACAGCAGAGCCCAGAGCCTCCCACCTCCCTCCACCACAGTCTTCTCTCCCTAGAACATACAGGACACCTCCCTCCATGCCCAGGAGCTGAGACCCCAGGACCTGGGTCTCTTTCTCCGGGTCAGAGGCCGGGCTGGTGACACTGGAGACAGAGGGCTGTTCCCCCGCCAGTCATCCCCCAGAGAGCCCCTTTCTATCCCTGAGAGCCACCTTTGTCACCTTCCTGCTGGGCATCATCTCATCTTCCCCAACACTAAAGAGCACAGAGAGACCCGGCCAAAATAATCCCCCAGGCTTGGATACCCAGGGCTCTGCATCCAGACCCTGCAGACATTCGCTGCAGAGGAAGGACAGTCTGATGGGGAAGCAGGGGCACACATCAGGGGGAATTCAGTCTCCACCAAGCCCCCCCCACCCCGTACCCTCCCCATGAGCCTGACCTTGAGAAAGACCCTGGAGAACTGGGTCAGGGCCTGGCCTGAGGGGCCCCTGGGATGCTCACCAAAATTCAGCCCCAGGGCTCCTGACTCCAGGCAACTCTAAGGAACCTGTACCAGGGCTGCCTTGTGGCCTCCGGGGCAGAGCTGGCTTGTGGCCTCCGGGGCAGGGCTGACTGGGAGGAATGACCTACCAGCTGGCCAAGGGCTGTGGCTCATTGAGCTGGGCACCAGCCAGGGCCCAGCCCCCAGAGCCTCAACTGGGCAAGGAGAGCGCCTCCGCCTTTCACTGTCTCAGCCTGGAGAGGACAGATGGACCAGCTCCCCGGATCATTAAACTGAATGGGGACGTTAAGAAAGACCCTAGGGGCAGTGTCCCCAGGGGCAGGAACAGAACGGAGAAAGTGTTCCTGGCTGCTTCTGCAGTCTCTATTCTATTCCACTGGTCTCCAAGGCCAGACCGCAGTCTTTTGATCGCTGTGGCTCTGTAGAAATGATGCAATCCGGAAGCGTGAGGTCTGCAACCTCCAGATCTCTTTTTTTTTTTTTGAGATGGAGTCTCACTCCGTCGCCCAGGCTAGAGTGCAATGGCGCGATATTGGCTCACTGCAACCTCCGCCTCCCGGGTTCAAGCAATTCTCCTGACTCAGCCTCCCAAAGTGCTGGGATTACAGGCATGAGCCACTGAGCCTGGCCTCCAACTTCCAGATTTCTCTTGGAAGAAAAAAGAAATCTTTTGCAAGATGTCTTTGGCTATTCGAAATTCCTCATGAATTTTATGCCAGGTTTTCTATTTCAGCGAGTGTCGTTGGTACTTTTACGGGAAGTTTAAGACTTCGCAGAGATGGCGGACATTCAGACCGAGCGTGCCCACCATAAGCAGCCGACTATCTTTCAAAACAGAAGAGGGTCCTGCTGGGAGAAGCTGGCAAGGAGAAGCTCCCGCGGTACTACAAGACACCCAAAGAGGCTACTGAGGGCACCTACATTGACAAGAAATGCCCCTTCACTGGTAACGTCTCCATTCGTGGGCGGATCCTCTCTGGCGCAGTGACAAAGATGAAGATGCAGAGGACCATTGTCATCCGCCGAGACTACCTGCACTACATCCGCAAGCACAACCGCTTCGAGAAGCGCCACAAGAACATGTCCGTACACCTGTCCCCCTGCTTCAGGGACGTCCAGATTGGTGACATCGTGACAGTGGGCGAGTGTCGACCCCTGAGCAAGACTGTGCGCTTCAACGTGCTCAAGGTCACCAAGGCCGCCGGCACCAAGAAGCAGTTCCAGAAGTTCTGAGGCTGGACGTCGGCCCACTCCCCACAATCACATAAAGTTATTTTCTCATTCCAAAAAAAAAAAAAAAAAAGAATTTGCAGATCACTGAGAAATACTGTCTTCCGGTCTGTGAACACAGCTGTTTCCGCACGTATGTCTCTCTTCTTTGCATTCTTTTATCTTCGTTTTGTGATTTTTTCGTGCAAGTTTTCCACCTCCTTAAGTTTATTATGAAGTGTTTTATTCTTTTTGATGTTATTGTAAATGAGTGGTTTTCATGATTTCGTGTACTTTGTTCATAGCGGGTGAAGAGAGCACAGACGATTATTGCCCGTGGATTTTATGTCCTTGGCAAATTGTCTGTATTCGTTCTAATAGAGTTGTTTTCCGGGCGTAGGATCGTGTATTTTTCTACGTATAGGATCGTGTCATCGGCAGAGATAATTTTTCTTCTTCCTGATCCATTTGGATGCCTTTATTGATTTTCCCGGTGGATGGCTGTGGCCGGGACGTCCAGGACACACTTCACAGAAGTGGTAACAGCGGCACCCTTGGCTGGCCAAATGCAGTGGGGTTTACGCTAATTGGTCACAACCAGTTACAGATTTATTTGTTCTCCTTCCGCTCCTGCCGCTTGACTAGCCTTTAAAAAAAAAGAAAACAACAACAGCAAAAACACAGCATCCTTGTCTTATTTTATTTTGCGATAGAGTCTGGTCCTGTTGCCAGGCTGGAAATGGAGCGGAATGGTGCGATCTCAGCTCACTACAACCTCCACCTCCCAGCTTCAAGCGATTCTTCTGCCTCAGCCTCCCGAGTAGCTGGGATTACAGGCACTTGCTACCATGCCCGGCTCATTTTTGTATTTTTAGTAGAGACGGGGCTTTGCCATGTTGACCAGGCTTGTCTGGAACTCCTGACTTCAAGTAATCCACCCACCTTGGCCTCCCAAAGTTCTGGGATTACAGGCATGAGCCACCACCTCTGGCCTGTTTTGATTTTAGAGGAAGAGTTTTCGTGTTCTCCTGAGTGTGATATTAATTGGAAGCTTTCTGTGTATGGCCATTATTCTGTTGAGGCCATTTCCTTCCGTTCCTACAAGTGCCAGGCTTTTGCAAAACCGTGAGCACGTATCTCTAGAAATTTCCTTCATTATGATACTCAATGTGCAGAAGTGAAATTCTGTTAGGTTCAGAAATCCTTAAGATTGGAAATTCTGAAGGCTCTAAGATCATCAGGACTGAGTTGGGGTGTCCTTGTTCACCAACAAATTATCCAGCAATAGGAAATGATTTCCTGGTTTCATGTAAATCTTCCCCAGCCCAGGGATGAACACAGCTGTCCAGCCTGCCTTCCCCAGCACACTCAAGAGTGCACAGCAGGATAAGGTGCTGTTGATGGAGTCACAGAAGGTGCTAGGGAAGGGTCACCCAGAAGCCACCAGGAGAAGCCATCTTTCTGGTGTGAGGATGCCAGACACACAGCCAGGAGAGGGTCCCAAGGCAGATACTGCAGAGACAGCCAGGGGGCAGGCAGGGGGCAGTTTTGGGTGACCTGGGGTCAGAGGGGAGGTGCTGCTCTCTCTTCACAGACCCCCACCTGAACAGGTGCTCCACCTACTGCAGGGGGTCGGAGCCATCCCTGGGGTGGTCACCTTGCACAGCTCACTGTGGGACCTGAGAGCTGGCTGGGATCTCTGAGGACAAAGCGTGACCCCAGGGCCCAGGCCACTCCCAGTCAGTCACCTCCTTGGTTTGTCCACAGGGCCAGTGGTTCAGCCTTCCATCCAAGCCAGCAGCAAGCAACACAGTCACGGAACAGAAGGACTGTGTGGTCCCGATCTGCCTCACAAGTGACACTGGAACCTCCATTCAGTGGACTTCAGTGACCACAGTCTGCAGGTCACAGAGAACATGAGGCTGTCCTGGGAGGCAGAGGTTGCAAGGAGCTGAGATCTCACCGCTGCACTCCACAGCAGAGTGAGGCTCCATCTCAAAAAAGAAAGGAAAATGATGACTGATTCTACCTCTATAACGCTCCCAAGAGGCAAAACCCATCTCTGGTGCTAGAGATCAGAATGATGGGAGGGGCATGGGAGGAGGCATGGGAGTGCCACCTGGTGCAGGCAATTGGTCTGTCTTAATCTGGACAGGGCTGTCATTGGCATACACACATGCAGACATTACTCACAGACATGCAGACATTACTTACACACATGTAGACATTACTCACACACACGCAGACATTACTCACACACATGCAGACATTACTGCTATGTCCATGTTACTTCGCCAAAAAAAAAAAAAGTATAAAATCTCTTTAGGTTAAATGAAAAACCAATATCCACAAAACAATCAAAGACAAGGTGTTCTCAAACTTACGCAACACTTCCAGAGAACAGGAAAAATAAATAAATACTCATTAACTCATCTTTGTAGAAGTAGAACTTTCATGTCACAAGCAGACCACGGCTGGCCTCAGTGGCTCACGCCTGTAATCCCAGGATTCTGAGAGGCTGAGGCAGCTGGATCACCTGAGGTCAGGAGTTCGAGACCAGCCTGGCCAATATGGTGAAACCCCGTCTCTACTAAAAATACAAAAATTAGCCGGGCATGGTGGCAGGCACCTGTAACCCCAGCTACTTGGGAGGCTGAGGCAGGAGAATTGCTTGAACCCAGGAGGCGGAGGTTGCAGTGAGCTGAGATCAAGTCACTGCCCTCCAGCCTGGGAGACAGAGCAGACTCCATCTCAAAAACAAACAAAGACAACCAGCAAACAAAAACACCAGACCAGGACACGATGAGGAAGTAAAATTGCAGTCCCTACTTTGGAGCACGGAGAAAAGACCCTAAACGAACTATGACCGAAAGGAGCAGGATTTACCCAGGAGAGTTGTTTTCCCCAGAAATGCAACGTGAGTTTAACACCCAGAAAAGAACATTTGCCCTTGCTACATCAACAGATTCACTAGAAAAAATTATAATGAGCAGAACAGAAGTGAAATGGACCTGCATGAAATTCCGCATTATTCCATCATGATGGAGACATGATGAAAAGGCCCTGAGGGAAACCCGCACCCCTGTGGCTGCCACATCCCTCCTGATTCTTCCAGCTGAGGACCCTCTTTGAAATCCCTGGGAGGACTCATCCCCACTGGGAAAGGCCCCATCTGGAAGGTTCCACAACAGTCCAGCCATGTCCCTTGAGCACAGATTGAGTGACAGGACCCTCGGGACCCTGGCGCATGGTCATGTCCTTAGTGGCCACACAGAGCAGGGACCTCTGGACCCTGAGGGTGTAGCCCGCCTGCATGAACCCATCCCTTCCCCAAAGACTTGGGCCCCAGGGTGGCTCTTGGTCTCCAGTCCACGCCACCAAAATCTCCAGAGTGAGGCTCCTCCCTGGGGTCTCTGATGCCTGTCCAGGAGGTCCCCCTTGAGCAAATCTAAAGAGTGTGGAGGGCTGGGGTTGTGGCAGTAAAAGCAGCCACGTTTGTCTCAGGATGGAAAGGGAGGGCATGAGCTCTAGAAAGGGTGAGGGCGCCCTCTAGGGGGCGCATCCTGCTAAGGAGCAAAAAGAGGCCAGGAGAGTGGAGAGATCAGGGCTGGCTTTGGATTAAGAGTGAGTTCAGGTGGAGGGGTCTGAGGGGAAAGGAGGAGGGTGAGGTGGGGGAGTGGTCAGGAGAGATGGGAGGAGCAGGTGAGGGACGCTTCAGGGAAGCTGTGGGAGGCACAGCAGGGCTCTGGCTCCTCAGCACTGACATTCGGGGTGGTCAAGCTGGTGGGGCTCTGTGAGCTGTGGGGTGCTCAGCACCACCTGGGGGCTCTACCCCAGCTCTACTCGGTGCCAGCAGGACTCCCTCCCCCAGCTCTGACAACCAACAACCAACAATATTCCAGACTTTGCCCAGTGCTCCCTGGAGGGTAAAATTTCCCCTTGCAGAATCCATCCCAAAATAGACCTAGTAACCGGGTAGCGCTGGAGTCTCACTCTTGGCCCTGTGAGCTGACAGCATCCTGATGCCCCTGCCCTGGGCCCTCTCTGAACCTCAGGGGCCTAAACGTTGCCTTATTATGGGGAAGGAAGGTGTTCTGTATGTCCTCAAAATTTACCCGTCCACTTCTCACACCTGTTCACCTCTCAAACCTGTTGCCCATTCCTGGGTTTAATCCTTAAGTTACTGACCTCTGTTCCTGTTCCTCATCCATCCCAACATGTGGTGGGCCCACGTGTGACAACCTCCGTGTCTGGACCCAGATGACATGGGAGGCGTCAGTGTACAACCATCATGTGAAATTGTAAGTGTTTTTTTTTTTTTTTTTTTGTGTGTGTGTGTTTTTGTTTACTATTTATAAACACTGGGGAGCATGAGGCACACCATAGACACAGGTCAGGGAGCCCAGCAGGGAAGACAGGAAGGACCTGTAGGACAATGGCTTTTTTGGGTCCAGGGTGTTATCTGACAGGGTTCCAGCAGGGGGCTTTAAGGGGTGGGTGTAAAGCAGCAGTCACTGGGGCCAGGAGATCACGCTGGGACTGAGAGGTGGTCACTGTACATTGGAGGGCAAATGTCAGAACTGTCAGTTGAAAGGCAGCAGCTGGAGAGAGGGGAGCTCAGCACACTGAGCAGGAGAGATGCCGCTAAGATTTTATCTCTGGCCACCAACTGCAGCCATTTAAACCAGCTACCGTATTAAAAAAAAGTCATGGTCTGTACACAGTGGCTCATGCCTGTAATCTCAGCACTTTGGGAGGCCAAGGCGGGAGGATCACTTGAGGTCAGGAGTTCAAGACCAGCCTGGCCAACATGGCAAAACCTTTTCTCTACTAAAAATACAAAAATTAGCCAAGCATGTTGGTGGGCACCTGTAGTGCCAGCTACTTGGGAGCCTGAGGCAGGAGAATCGCTTGAACCCTGGAAGTGGAGGTTGCAGTGAGCCAAGATTGCACCATTGCACCCCAGCCTGAGTGACAGAGTGAGATACTGTCCTGAAAAGAAAAACGAAAACCAAAAACTCATGCGACCAAGTCCTGCTTCTGATAGGAGACAAGTAAATTTACATCTTAAAATATGGACACCAAGGCAACCTGAA